TCGAGTCGAAACTTCGGTATCTATAATAAAAAATGTGATTGAAAATTTTTATTTCTTATTACCCAAGTCAAGTCATTTTTTGGAAAACTTGAGACCTAAGCAGAAAAAAATTGCAATTAGATATCTCAACACAATTTTTTACAACCTATGTTACGGTGCTGCTACGGATGATTCATTATGAATTAGCAACAAGAAACTGTATTTTCGTTTCCTTTGCTAATGTAGAACATATATTTCGGTCATATACACTTGTTGTGGGATTCGGCTGTCTCAATTGCAAAATTGCAAATATTTGAAACAAATATTGAATCAAAAATTTGTAAACTGTAAAAGGTAGTTGGTTAAGGCCGGGGTGATGAATATCGTCGCTGAAAGGAGGCAATTTTACAGTCGTTAAAGGCGAGGGGGTTCCAGTATCTGAGTCATGGCACTTGACTACCTACGTTGCCACTCCATTGGGGGGGAGAGGGGAGAGGAGGTACAGATGGAGACAAATGCCAGTTTGGAAAATAAAATTTGTTTGCTCAATGCTTCTTCTTTGGGGTGTCCCGTAATTATCTCGTAATTTACGAGGAGTTAGAACTTGTTATAGATCTCATTTTCAATGATAAACAAGTTTTAACTTGTTTTGTGAAGATTAAAATATCAATATGATACTAAAACGAATTGATATTGTCTAAAAAATTGCTAATCTTTAAGTATCTCCTAGAAGACTGATTGATTTATTTGTGTACATATCAAAAGAAAACTCAGCAAATCACCTTACTCTTTCTCCCAACTCTACAAAATCCTGTTTTTTATTAATATATTTGTGGATGAAGTTGGTTGGGAGCGCCGGTTATAGATAAAATAACACATTAACAAGAAACTTTTTTTATTGTGTACTGACGTTTCGGCCCAAGTTTTAAGACTTTGTCAGGACTAGGTAAAATAAAAAGCAAAATAAAAGTCAATAAGACAAGGAGTATAAAAAAAAAATTATGAAAATGTTAATAGTTCATTTATTTATAAAGCCTTCACTTTTTTTTCTTACTTGTGCTAAAGTGTATTTTGACATTTGGCAAACTATGGGGAAAAGAAATATCTTAATGGTTGTTTTCGTTTCTTGTTTTTGATTTTTTTTATCTGGTGTAGGTAACGAGAGAAATAAATAGAAAATTGTTTAACTTAGCGCTCATGTCACTGTGTTTAGTGACAGTTTTAGTTATCTAACTTAAATTTGTCTTTATTTTTTATAGATTATGGGACTAAAATATATAAAAATTAAAGTTTTTGTAAAAATGAATTGAACTATTGAACTATTGAAATTGACTAATACATTGTATCGGAAATTGTTTTGGAGAGCATTGCATCCAGATTTAATACTAAGATAATAATATTAAAAAAAAAAGTTTTTAAAATTACGGCCATTATTTGTTTTGGAATCAAATATCATTAGAAATGCATGATGTGTTTATATATATTTGGAAGGGGGAGTTTTAAAATGTTGAAAGGTATGTAGAAACTGTTATTATCTTGTCAGATGTCCTCAGCATTGCATTTGTCCCCTCATCGCTGACTTTTCAAGTAGCTTCTTGCATTTTGAATATTTGTTGTTTTGCAATTCTCTGGATATAAGGATGTACGCTGTAGGTGTAGAGCTGGGGGCGGTAGTTGGGGTGGTCCTGGGGGTGGGTTGGTATCGATTCTCGCCAGAATTTGGAGTTTTATAACGCCTCGCTGCACCTCCCCCTAGTAATTGCTTTACCTCCTCCCCAACCAGACCATAAATATTACCAAACGACTCTCTGTATATTGAAATGGATTTTCCCCCCTCTTAAGCCTGTCTCCAAGCAGAGTTTCAGTTGCTTACGTAAACAAAAGTTTTATAGCCAGTGTCTTTTGTATTTCTCCAAAACTATCCTAATTACTAGAATGTTGTAAAGTCGTAATTGACCGCTGTTTGCCGTTTCGTCGAAATTTCATATTATTGTTTTGGTCGAACCGCTTCAATCTTAATGATAAACATTTGCTTAAAGCTGACATTTGTGTTTTGAATCATGGATATGTTAGCTGTAAATGCCTAATCCATACGTTCCTTGCAAAAATGACCTTTAAAATATCCCTCCTCGATGATGGAATATTCCTGCAATCAGTCCAGCTATAATCCAGGATGGGGATACTGGTGGAGGAGCGACCCTCTGTTTAATTTAAACCGTCACTTAACTTAAGGCTAAGTGCTATCGACCAGATTAGACTTATTCAGCCACTCTAATAATCAAATACAGTTTCTGAACTGTTAAATTTTGTATTCTATTTCAATCATTTTCACAATTTCATTTGTATTTCTGGAATTGTGGACCTCATGCATGAATTGTAAGCGATGCGACGGTTGCATCATCATTTCGGAATTCGGCCTTTTACAAACTTTAATTCATTAAGTAAATCAACACTAATGACTTTGGCTCTGCACTTTCAACCGATCTGTGTACTCCAGCTTAGCTTATTCCTTTTGCATTGTTTAATCGTTCACTGTCTCGGAAGGCAACCTCAAAACATCATGATGATACTTTATGCAATATATAATATAGAAATGAATTAGGAAAACGTTAAAAAAAAAAGTAATGTGAATAGTGAGGACATTGTCCTAAGGATCTCGTTTTATGGTATTTATTTTTCGTTATTGGTGTAACACTCACGCTTGTTTTTCTGACAGCGTTTAATTTAGAATTGGGTTAATTTCACTTCTTGAGCTGATGAAATCTAGTAGTTGTTGGCCAGAGTTCTTATATATTAATGCAATCTAAATTGCAAAAAAAATGTCTAATATGTGGATCAATCTGATCTACAACATTGTTGGCACACTGATTCTGTAAGTAGCCTCCATCCACATGTCACATATTTTTTTAATGCTGTGTAGTGATTTTTTATTTTTTTGTCACTCGAAACATGGAATAATAAAATATCAAATTTATATAGGCTCAAACAGTCCAGAAAAAAAAAACGTAAATGTTTTATAAAATTTAGGCAGAAAGGATTGTAAATTTGATGGGAGCTGACAAATACTGTGGGGAATGAATCACCTCTCATAAACGAATCTCCTGAGCCACAATAGCTTTCAATCGGATTGTGTAAGATTCCATCCAACCTCCTGTTTTTTTTTTTTCTTCTTTTAGACTGATTTTTAATTAGTGATCTTTGCGGCTATTTATTTTTCGAAAATGATGCAATTCTCTATTATCATCTATCATGAGATTTAAAGACATTTAATATTTTTAATTTAATAATTCACAATTGTTATTTATTGCTAACGAACACTTTGAAACAATTTCGAATAATACAATTTTTTAAAAAGTCCAGTAGAAAAAATTGTTTCAGCCAAAGATATACATACATAAATACATATGTGGCGCGACATCCCGTTTCCGAGAATGGGCTTCCGCCTCCGCCAGTTGGCGCTGTCTTCTGTTGCAGCTCTCCAGTTCCGTACGCTAAGCTGGGTTATTGCATCATAGGCCACGCTGTCCAGCCATCTCGTCCTCGGCCTTCCTACACGTCTTGCGAGGTGCAGCTCCTCAATCATAACTTGGATATTTCAAAGGCGCTCATTCTGACCACATTCCTTGCCCACCTTAGTCTGGCAAATTTAATGTAGGTGACTACGTCGACGTCTGTATGAAGAGAATATGTCTGAGCTCCCTATTTTTTCTTTTCCTGCAGACATCACCTTCCTTTATTGAACCATAGATCCTTCTGAGGACTCCTCGCTCGAACACACTCAGCTTCATCTTATCACTTTTCGTTATCGTCCAAGCCACTGAACCATATGTATAAAAAAAAGGCCGTACAAGGGTATTGTATATAATCTTGGTCTGCTTTGAGAGATATCTACTTCTAAAGTGTCGGCCAACTCCAAAGACACATCTATTGGCAGTCGTTATATTTCTCTGTATTTCTTGAGCTATGTTATTTTTACAAGGTATATAAAACTTTTTACTCTCTCAAACTTAAAAGAATCTACTTGAAATGGAGAGTTCAGATCCACCTCACCACCAACTCTCAAATACTTAGTTATCTTCTCGTTGATTTCTAGATCAAGTCGTCTTGCAGCTACTTCAAGGGCTGTAAACGCTTCTCTCAGAGCTCGTTCAGATCTTCCTGTTATATCAATATCATCAACAAAACCAAGAAGCTGTGTCAGGCGTTGGAAGATTATGTCGCTGTTTTGAACACCGGCCTCTCTTACAAGCTTTCTCCTCTGCTAACTTGAATAATAGACTGGCGAGGGCATCCCCTTGCCGAACCCCACTGCGCACTGTAAACTCTTCAGAGGCATCAGAATCCATGCCTATTCTATATTCCGAGATGTCCGTGGTCATCTTGATTAGGCGTATGAGCTTCTGAGGGATGCTTAGCTCCTCCTAGGCACATTACAGTTGTGTTCTATCAACGCTGTCGTATGTTGCTTTAAAGTTCACGTATAAATGGTGGCTGACTACCTTACGCTCCATACTCTTTTCTAGGATCATCCTGAGGGAGAACAGTTGATCAGTGGTTGAGGGTCCTCATCAAAATCCAGCCTGATATTTCTTCAGTTGCTTTTCAGCATACAGGAGGATCCTCTCAAAAAGAATGTTAGAAAGCAGCTTATAAGCACATGTAGGAGTGAGATTCCTCTATGGTTAGTGCATTCTATTTGATCTCCTTTCTTATGTATTGGGCATATAATGGCTGTTGCCCATTCAGTAGGCATAGCTTCCCTCTTCCAGATGGTCAACATTAAGTCATGCAAGAATTTAGCCATCGATATAAATTAAATAATTTTAATGCGAAATACATTTAAATGATTTAACAAGATTTTATTGACGGAGGAGAAGGATCAATAGAACTGTTTAATTAAACAAGTCAATCAAAATGTTCCATTATAAATGATAAAAAGTAAGGAGTTAATATGGGCGGGGTATTTATCACCGAGTAATCCATCATGAAGCCTCACGTTTTAATGAACGTCACAATAGTAGGCAATCTCTTGCCACCTTGAAAGCCAACAAACAGATGGAATAGATAAAAACAATATAGATGCTGCAGAGCTTAATACTAATGCAGCAGACTATGAAGCAATAGCTGCAGATAAGCAGAAGTGGAGGAGGCCTCAAGATGTGCAAGGTCTCAGATGCCAAGAGGCAAAAAAAAAAGAAAACATTAATAGAACCCAAAAGCAGCACATCTTTCCTCAACAATGTAAATATGCCCCAAGAGCTAGGGTTTGGCGAGCACCACATCACTACAACCTATTTCAACAGATATTTTAATGTATGTATACACACTCACCATTTGAAGACATGGCAATATATTATACTCTATTTGATAGCTGTTTCCTACTATCTCTTGACTGTTATTGGTCTGTATGTGGGATCTTATTTTTTTTTTTTCCTGTTCTGACGCTCCTGCTGACTTATTATTACTTTAGGCAATAAAATACTTTGTTTTTGGATTGATCCAATTATATATTAACAATTATTATTTATTTTTTTGTCCATTTTGTAAAAAAAGAATAATATTAATGAAAAAAATCAATTAGTAAAATAGAAGAGAAAGATGGTTGGGGTGATCAGTCAAAATAAAAATAGAAAAAAATATTTATTTTTACATTTGCTGACGTTTCGGCCCGTTTTACATTATATTAACTTTTCGTTCTCTTATACGTAGTCAGTATTTTTGATCGATATCACAATATCTTAATTTGCTATTTATATTTATTATTTCCTTATATAACTTCATATTCCTTTTCTCTGTTTTACATTTTATTCTAAGATTACCATTTTTCATTTCTAATGCTACCTTATTTCGATTATGTTTATTTCATTGGTCCATGATTTGTTGTTGTTATTATTATTTATTTCTTAGTCCTCTGTTACTGTTATTATTCTACCTACTTTATTTCAATTTAATGTTCACCCTATCTACTTCCTTTTACTTTAAGTTTTTTCTACCTACATTTTTTAGAATATACCTTTCACCTTTTTTAATTTTAATTTTTTATTGTTTAATTGCTCGTACGTATTGTTATCTGGTTCTTTTCTTAGCCCTGATGAATGCCTGAACTTGGAACCGAAACGTCGGCAAATGTACAAATAAATATTATTATTTATTTTTGCTATTTTTGTTTTGACTGGTCACCCCAACCATCCTTCCCTTCAACCCACGATTAGTAGAATAATTGTATAATTGTATGGCCCAAGTTATGAGAGAAATATTTCCTTTATTTATTTTAAAAATGCAGTTTCCTTTATCACACAATTCTCTGAATCGTACTTTCTGTGGCCAATTAATTTTTCCAAGCAAAAAAGTTTTGTTGTTTTCCGTAATCAGAAGTTTATTTATAAACCATAATTAACTAAAAGACTCTCTACCTTTACTTCTTAAGTGCTTAGTTGTTAAGTATTTAATTAAAGTTATCGAGGTTATCAATTGATAACTATACTCAGAATTAATTAAAATTTAAAATGAAACACTCAGGTAGATTTATATTTTTTTGAAAGAGAATAAGAAATCGAAGAGATTGGACATGTTGTTCCTAGTTTATATCTAATTGTAAATTTTACAGAAACGTGTGTACGGAAAAAATAGGCCTAATAAATCTAATCGAGTCAATTATTATTTTTATTGATACAAGAATGTGGTTAGTTCGAGTCTATAAATAGTTGTGTTGAGTAAATGTGTAAGACTAGAACTAATCGATAATTTATAAGAATAGACATGACAAATGCAGAAATAAAATCATTTATGTTACTTGATTAACGAACCATCATATAAGTATCTGTTCCTAATCAGAACATTAAAGCCAGTTACAAACTACATCTTCACCCAATAAGCTACTCATTTCTTTTTTTTTTTTCTTCTTCAGCCTACATAGCCATTTCTGGTATACGGATTTTTCAGCAGCAAAGGTATTCCACATGGGATCTGCGTACGCCACTGCCGCCTATACTACTCTCTTTATTTCGTTTATATATTTAGGAACGACAAAAACAGGGATTCCAAAAAGCTACTCAGTCATCCTCTCGGCTGTTCCGAAAAAATTCTCAGGAGTACCCGAAGTATAGAATTAACTTATATGTTGCACAAAATTGATCTAGGCCGCCTAATTGTTGCAAGATCAAGAAAAATAACGGTAAAAAAATGAAGAAAAAAAATGTTGTTACAAATTAAGGCGAAATACTTGCTAATACTAGACAATTTTAGTTACCATGTATAAAGATTTGGTAGAAGAAATATATGTCTGCATCTAAAATCACTTCAAAATTTTCATTCGGAGTTTAGTAAGGTATCCCCGATCTGTAAAATGCAGTGGTAACATTTTTTAAAAGGTTATCAAATTTCCTACAAAACTACAAACAAATCGTCTAAATCGAACCAGTTTTAGCAACGCTACAGTGTATTGAATTTTATACACTGATTTAAATGATCGTTTACTCGCCCGTTTACATAGCTTTAGTCCATCAAACAAATGGTTTTTCTCTAATGATTTTTCTGATCGGTTATCAGGAACATTAGTCTAATTCAATTGTATTTTTCTTTTAATGGACATATTTAAAATGGGTAGGAAAGTCATGTGAGTGGACAGAATAGATTTGTATTTAAATAATTGGTGACATTCTATAGATTGCCTTTACTCTACAACTTTCTTTACCTATGATTCACTACCTTTCTTGACAATGCATTTAATGAATTGTCAAATTAATTTTATTAATTTGGTTGAGCTTTAGTACGTTCATGCCAATAAAACATCTAAATGTACCTTTTCAGTTGTATTTTTCCAAAATCTAAAGTAACATATTTAATAAATAACAATAAGTTAATAGGTAACTGCGAGACCAAGACCAAGACTGAGTGCTCAAGATCAATACTCATCATGGGCAACACTAGTCATATTCAGCAACTATACAATATAAACAGGGTGTTCCATCAATAATGCGAATTATTTAAAGATGTGACAGCAGAACTCAAAAGCTAGAAAAATGTTTATACAAGCCACCCCCCGATTCACCAAAGAAATGCAGGAAATTTGGAAAACGGATGGACTTGGAAGTTAAATATTTTTCTGTTTATTTTATTTTTTGTATTTAGTATTTGACTAACAGTATAGAGCTCTGGTGGTCACTCCGACATGGGTTAGTTGGTATGCAAACTAACAATCAAAGATAATTATAAATGTTTGGCGAGAAGTTAAATAATTACGGATCATGTTATTAGTTAGATTGCCTGAGTGGGCCTGGAAGGTTACTAAGTACCTAAACCATAAAATAGAGCCCTATATTGAACCCAAGTGATTGCGTAGTGATGATTGATTACTACAATCCTTCAGAAGTATCCAGTGTCCATTTAATTATCAATATATAAATTTCGATTTCTTACCGCCTAAGTTTCAACTGGGCATTTGTATCAAAGCGGAGCTATTATCTGTAATAGGAAATGGTTGACTTAAAGCGGCTTGAGCGGATGGCGAGGAAGCTAGGACCCTTAGGTTCGGGAGGGATTGATGAACCGCGACGGAAGAAGCAACGGCCCGCGGTGCCGCCAGCAATGGCAATAGCGGGCCGGTGGAGACCTCGAGAGCTGGGCCCTCACAGCAATTCCTTCCTTTCTCTTCTCCACCCTTCTCCCTTAGTCCTTAGCCCTCTAAGGATCCCATCATTTACCACTTCCGTTCAGGCTCAATCTAACTTATTACTATCAACATTTGCATACTGCCATGTATTGCACACAAATACAATCATTTCTTTATCTCTATATATAAGGTCGTGGTCATGGAAATCGCATCACCTATTTATTTTGATTATTATGTTGATAATGTTATTCCATTGAATGTTTTTCTTTTTATTTACTTATTTTTACTTATCTAAGGTTACAAGAAATCTTTAACAATTATTTCTCAGTTATGTTTTAACTAATGCCAGGAGAAAAACTGTAATTATGACCTGTATCAAATACTGTCTACGTCTAAAACATTAAAGTTGTGACATTACATAAAGTAAAGTAATCTTCACGGGAAATAGTAAAGAGAATAGGGTACCAACAATCAATAGTAGTTGTAGCTTTGAAAAAAAAACAAAAACATGGAGCGTAAGAATGAAACTGGGAGGAGAAAAAAATAAATGGACAATTTGACTGCTTAATGGTGCGATTTTAGAATATCATTTCATAACTGGAATATCCGTAGATATTGCTGTAGCAATCTGGTAAATAAAATAAAATTTAATACAATTTTCACTGGGTGATACAATTCCTATGACCGCGACTGTATATATATTTCTCTATCTCTCCCTCACTCTCTCTCTCTCTCTCTCTCTCTCTATATATATATATATATATATATATATATATATATATATATATTCATTCTTTTCTCTCTCAACGTACCCAAGCAGTCTCTGTTCCTAACCAACCTTTATCTTCCTATCTAACCCTGTCCTCAGGAGTGGCACAGGGCTCTAGCATATCTCCTCTCCTTTTTAGTTTATATATTAACGATCTTCATAAATCAATCCTTCACTGTTCCCATCACCTTTATGCCGATGATTCCCAAATTTACCTCTCCTTGGCTCCCTCTGAGTAGCATGATGCGTTTGCCAAAATGCAAGAAGACCTAAATCGAATCTATGCCTGGGCTAATGAAAATAGATTAAGGTTAAACGCTGCTAAAACCCAAGCCATTGTCATTGGTTCCAAACCCCTTCTCAGATCCAATACCAACATTCCTCTCCTCTACCTAAATGACCAACCCATCACCTTCAACTCTTCAGTTAAAAACTTAGGTATTTTCATAGATCAAACCCTCTCCTGGAACCACCATATTTCCCAAATATCCCGACGCTCAATTTCTACCCTGAAACTCTTCCATCGCTTCCGCCATCTCCTACCCATGTCCACACGTAGACTCCTAGTATCCGCCCTCATTTTTCCCCCACCTGGACTACGGCTGCGTAGTGTACGTTGGCCTCTCATCGGAACTTGGAGACAGATTGAAAAGAATTATGAATGGCTTAGTAAGATTTGTCAAAGGAACCCCGAGACGTTCTCATGTATCTCACTACTACGCCGAGTTAGGTTGGCTCTTCCCCTCCTTCAGAAGACAATATTTCCTTGGTACATTCCTCTACCAAATAAACCATAATCATCATCCGTCCTACGCATTCAATCTCTTTCAATTCAAGTCATCTATCCACTCCCTCTCCACAAGATCTCGTCCTTCTGACCTTTATACCCCTTTCCACAAATCTGCCTCCTTTTAACACTCCTTTATTGTCCGCTCCACTACCTTTTGGAATTCCATCCCACTTAAAATCCGCCATGCACCATCCCTATCCATATTTAAAACCCTCCTATTCCAATTCCTCCTTACAATTCAATCAGAAGCTGGGTAGCCATTTATCATGTAACAAAATTGCATTTTTCTCTATTTATCATTAGTATATAAATATATATTATTGAGCATGGAAAAGATGTCTAGTCACGTTCTGTAATATAAATATAATAAGGTAAATACTTCTGCTATCACTTAGTTTTTAGTTATTTTTTTTATTGTAATATGTATTTTGAGCAGATGGAATGTTAATTTTTATGTACAAAATAGTTATTCTTAAGGGACTTTGTCCCAGAATAGAGTTGATTCTTCTATTCTATTCTATATATATATATATATATATATATATATATATATATATATATAGAGAGAGAGAGAGAGAGAGAGAGAGAGAAAGAGAGATAGGCTCTGCCATTCGACCAGAAACCTTTCTAAACCTCGAACAATTGCTATTCAACATTTGAACCTTGCGGATGTCGTAGCTAGGTGTTGTAACTAGTTTTGTCGATTGTTGTAACATTATAAACTGCCCCAGAAATGATAACCTTCTCTTTCTCTTTCTCATGCTCCGAAGTTTCCAGCCAGTTTCAACCAGGATTTGGGCCGTATGGTTCGTATTTTTTTTTTTTATGGTGCCTCCATCCTTTTCAACTTGTAATTCATCGATAGGCATTTCCTGGTATAAAGGCATTCTATTCTGTTTTTACTGGTTCGTTCGAGTGCTTTAGTTTGGTGTTCCAGGAGATGTACTTCTTATTGTAAATATTTTTCCATTAACAAACTAGAAATAATTACAATAAATAATAAAAAAAATATATACATAACTTAAGTTCAGTATATATGAGGAATCAATTGTTGAAGAGGCGGAGAAATCATTTATGTTTGAATCAAGTTAAAGAAGAAATTTTACGAATGAAGGAAGCAGGAATGACAAACTCTTAGATATTTGAGTAAAATAAAACAATGAGGAATATGTTATGTAAAATCTGCTAATATTTATGTTTCCAAACTTTAGAAATTATCTTCTGTTACTCCAAGTTTTATTTTATTTTATTTTGTTATAATCTTGTTGTTCTTTTATTGTATATATGGTATGATTGTACTTCATTCATCATAAATACTCAATGCCCTTAATTGAGGCAAAATTTTTTTTTTTTTCTCAATAAAAATTCATAATTAAGAAATTATATAGTTTCATGTTAATTTCGATCGAGCGATAGCATGACAAATTAAAGGCCATTATAATATTTTGAGTTAGAAATTAAAGTAAGAGAAGGAAGACTTTGCTCAGAAAGTGTGCTAACTTTGGATAAGTAAATGCCCTTCCGCTCTCAGTGATAGAATTATTCATGAAACTCTTCCTATTTTCATATCCCTTCCAACTTGCTCACTTTCCTCCAATACACCTCCGCTCTACACATTTCCATTTTTTGAATACAAATTCTTCACCATATTATAGGATTCGTAGAAGACAAGACTGCAGTTAACTAGCAGTTAAGTCAAACTGAGTCTATTTTCAGATATAGTACGGTGCTTTTTTTTTTTTTTTTTTCTTTATTGAGTATTATAACAATCTGTCTCTTGGACATTGGTTATAGTGAGGTAGGATGACATTCACACTATATGTACAAAAAAATAAAATAAATAGAAATAAAATAAAAATCAAAAGTTTATACAATAGATAATAAAATAAAATAACCTAAAAATAACAAAATTAAAGCTAAGAAAGAAAACAAAACACATGCATACCTATATACAATCAGGCGAGGGAACTCCAGGAGAACCCTGCGCTACTCTCCCAACCGCGTCACTGGTACTAAAGCCAGCGGAGATTGATCTAGAGCACTTTAGCCAAATACACTCATGTCTTGAGTGAAGAATCTGGCCATTGCTAGAACTCCGATTTGTACAACCTACAAAAGGTCGCGAGGCCACTGCCGCTTCAACCTCCTTGGAGGATTATAGGGATGGGAGGTGCTTGATAGGGATTGTGCAAGAGGATTTAGGTGGTACGTAAGGTTCTGGTGAAATTTGGAGAATTATTTCTGGGATAAGGTCTAGGGCAAATGGGATGTTGAAGTCATGATGTAGGGTTTTGTTGGTTACATAGAATGCAGCATCGACTATAGTACGGTGCTTAAAAATTTTAACCATCTAATCTAAACAGCGTTGTTTTTTTTTCTTGTGCAATTGTATATTTGAGTATAGCTATTTAAATAATAATAAAAAATTAATCTTTCTTTTTTGTTCTCCCCCTACCTCGCCTTTTAGGTTATACGGTTAAAAAATTAGTTAAAAGACCTCACCCCCCCTCGGGGAAGCGGTACGCGAACTCATAATTATTTTGAATATTTAATAGTTGACCGTTGCATTATAAAGGAAGGAGATGGTCTGGGGTCGTGGTAATAAATAGGCTAAATAGTGGTAAAACTAGTTTATTAAAAGCTAACGTTTCGACCCGACTTTGCAGGTCTTCTTCAGGGAGGTGTGTTCAGTTTGGAGTTTAACTTAGAACTGACTAAAGTTCTAACTAGTTTAATAAAATAGTTTTGCCACTATTTAGCCTATTTATGACCGCCACCCTGGACCATCTCCTTCCTTCATAATTATTTTATTTTCTCCAACTTCAGTTATCAGGTTGCTGGGCAACGCGCAGTGCTGTGCACACTAGTTAGTCCGCTCGACCACCCCGCCCCTAAAAATTACTCATTTGCCAGGACCGGAGCAAGATAACAAAACAACACAAAACACGCGTTTTTTTGAATAAAAATTAAGACTAAATGGTTACTAATAATACTAGCCTATTTTAGTAACTATAATGAAAATTCTCAAAAGAAGCGGACACTCGCGGAGAGTAAAAAGATGTCCGTTTTAGTAAATTTGGAAGAAAAAATTGTTAAAAAAGTAAAAATTAGAAAACTTAAATTGTATTTTAATATTTATATCGTGCAAATAATCGTTTATCCGATTAAAAACATTTTTCTTTTTAAATTTACAATTTAAAAATATTTTTATGAGAAATTTAATAATATATTGTGCATGATAAAATTGCACATAAGAAACGTAAAATTTTTTTATATAGAATAAAAAGAATAGCAATTTGTAATTTTTGTTTGGATTAGCATAACTATTTTGTTTTCCAAATTGTTATATACAATTATTCCACTTCCTCCTTCAAATTGTAATTGTTTCTCAGCCAACTGATTTGTGATAGAACATCTTTAATATTCACTCAGAGATCACGAAAATGTATCATCAGTTCAAAGGTCCACCGCGAGTATAGTTGTTCGAAATGATTGACGAACGCTGGAGGGTTAAGTTACAAGCCTCGCGAAATCATCCGTGTTACTGCAACAATGGCATAATTCGAAAGATATTATTTCTTTGCATTGACATTTCTGTGTTTGGCCCGCTGTTCACAGTTTTTGTTATTTCTTTAAAATGTCTAACCACCGTGTTTTAATCGAGTGGCCAAATTGAGAATTCTGAACTTTCCGATACACTCATTAATTACACAACCTTTTCTTTGAAATTTGACCAGAACCATGTTGAAATATTACAATCAACTGTGTGTAAATGACAACAAAGGGTTAAGAACTATCTTTTCCTGTAGAACCATCTTTTTCAATAATTCAGTTCCAAAAGGTCGGCGTGAGATTAGTTGGGAAAGGTTGAATAAGAGTGGTGAACTGAGAAGCAAGAAAATATTCTTTTCTATTGGTGGATAAATAAGAAAGGGAGGGTGGTGCCAATACGTTATCAATTTTGTCGTAATATAGGGGCGGGGTCCAATGGTCCAATCTTGGGAGCGTCCAGTTGGACCGTTGAACCGTGAACAGGTCGCCCACCCTTATTATTTCCTTCTCTCCTCTTCCTCATACAAAACAATATCTCTCTCCTTTCCGCCTCTTTCTCTCCAGGTTTAGTTGAAATAGCGCTAGGCTATAGTAATAATAGAAATTGGTTATCTTTTTACAATGTTTTTTTTTTCTGTATCAGCACATTTCTTTATAATTAATTTTTTTAAATTTAATTAAACTTGGATTTATTCATGGGCTTGCTTATTAAAGGAAACAAATAGAGGTGACTTTCAATATATGAAGGTGGCGGCCTATGTATACGATACAACTAGTATGAGATAAGATAGTACTTCACCATTCGATATATATTCACTCCGATCCTTTCCTCCCTGTCAAGTCCTTCAGGTCTTTATTAGGAATTACATTTTAAACAAACCCTAACAAATATAGTTAGCTTTTGGAAAACTTTTTTTTTTTGTTTCTTTACTACTCGATTTGAAATGTATACTAGTTTTCTGATTTTTGTATTTCCATTTTTTTTTTAAATTAATTAATACGATATTCAGTCACTTGGAAAATAATAATAGGGAGGTAAGACCACATTCATTTATACAGAAAATATGAATAAACAGAAGAAAAGCTTTGAATTAGCTTCTAATATCCTCGTGGAAAGTGAACAACTTATATAAACGATATGTCACTTAGAAGTAAATACAATTCTTTCTTAAAGTATTTTATTGTAACAACATTTTAAAAAAAACAAATTATAATAATATTGGTATTGAAAATTAGTTTATTTTTTCTTAAGGCCAAGTATTAAATTAGAGAATTGTGCTATCTTAGTAAATCTTAGTGATATTTAAAGAGAAAAATAGAGAATCATCAATTACTTAAAATATACTATTAAGCGGGTAAGACAGCGTTAAATAAAGGTTTGGTATACGTTTGTGTATGTAATACATGTATGAAATATAGTACATGTATTTATGAAATATAGGATTGCAATATATATATATATATATATATATATATATATATATATATATATATATATATATATATATATTTTAACATAATTATTTAATTAGGAATTAGGTCACTTAATATTTATACAATAAACTATTAAATGTTCATTCGAAACGTCGAATAAACAGCAGAAACAATGAATATTTAGTAGTTTATTGAATGATTATTAAGTGACTTTATTCCCAATTAAATAATTATGTTAAAATAGAATACTGAAAAGGCTGATTGTAGAAATTTTGTAAATATATATATATATATATATATATATATATATATATATATATATATATATATATATATATATGCGATAACCTCTTGTTCGAGCGCCAATTTTTCGCTTAAGTAAATCAATATTATACAATGGTTCGTTATGGAGTACTGATGAAATGTAATTGTCAAATTGCTCTAAAAGAAGGGCGGTGATGAAAAGATAGCTTATAAGATCATACTTCTACAGGATCATTTCTGTATCATACATATAAAAAGACACAGAAAAATACATAGGACTAAAGAACACTTCTGTACCAAACACTGGTATTAAACAGTGTTTATTGTGTCATCTCGAAAAGTTTGTTTACATTTCGATTCGATAAAGCTTTTTTGGCGTGGTTAATTGGGACCACGGTGTCCATGGAGAGTAAGAACCTTCCTATTTTGGATCCCACTTCCGATCCGAGGCAGGGCAAACTCCCAGGGACCGTTATCACTGCACTTTCCAGGTCCGCGTCATTTGCTGCTTCCCTTCAACACCCAACTGTAACGTTGATAGAAGATATGGATTCTGAAGCGAGGCGAAAAAGCCAGGCTAACGACGGCTTCGAAATGGCTAAGAAGACCGTAAAAACTAAGAGAATTGAAGAACCTTCTGTTGTAGCTACTGCTAACAAATATCTCCCGTTAAATAGTATTTCAATCGAACCTCGATCTGCTATTGAAACTGTTAATCAACCAGCTCCCCAAACAACTTCTCAAACAACCCCAACTAAAATACCTCAAGTACCTCCGATAGTCATAACAGGCACACATTCAACAACCTTTATAACGGAATTCATGACTTCACTAAATATTACAAATTATTTCCTGCGCCACACAAGAAAAGATTTACGTATCCTTCTCGCTTCTGCCAATGATCGTACTCCTCTCTTGCGTGGTCTAACAGAAAATAATATTAAATACCATACATTCGCAGTTCGTGGAGATGAACAACGACCTCAGCGGTTTATACTAGAAAATCTCGATCTCCAAGAAGACATTGAAAATGTTAAGGCTTCCCTAGCACCATGGTGTAATGGACGTTAGAAGGTTGCAAAAAACCGCTCCAGATGGATCAAAAATCACACTTTCACCCATACTTGTGACTGTCCCTGCGAATGTCACAATCGAGGAGATTTGAGCCATAAAAGCGGTCAATAGAGTGATTTTTCGAGTTGAGAAATATATAACTCGGCGAAGCGACCTCATCCAATGTTTCCGCTGCCAAAAATTCGGACATACGAGAAACTATTGCGGACACATAGAAGTATGCGTCAGATGCTCTGGACATCATAATATTTCAGCATGTCCCCGACAGGGTCAACCAAATTGCTCTCAGGAACATGTTGCCTCGTTTCACCAGTGTTCTTGTCGACTTCAGTACAGTGAACAACTGCAGATGAGAAAAGAAGAATTGGCCTCAAGAAAGAAAACAGCTACCGACGCGACATCAAACCCTACTTCGAATACAAAAACCGGAAACACTTTAATACTTCCAACTGACCCATCAACACTCGAACAAGTACAACTTCCTCCAGAAGCTGAACCACCACCATGGCTTACACAGTTCCAAAAATCTATGAATGGACTACTACAACAATTAATTACCTTAATAAATTTAGTAGTGAACCTCGTTACCCAAAAATGAGCGAATACTCCATTTTTAATTTCAATTGTAACCGCCTGTCAGTTAAGATAGAAGAAGTGGAAGCACTGTTATCTATCACTGAGCCCTCTATTGCAGTCATTACAGATACTCGGACACTGAATCGTCGCCCTCACTTCCAGGGTTACTCAGTTGTCACTGATGAATGTTATGATCCTCATGGAGGTGTATTAATAGCGATACGTCACGGCATAACTTGGAAGAAGATACCCACACGAGTGCGCATAGTAGACAACAGAATCAGTCATCTCACTATACAAGTATTGATGCAACAGCCTACCTACATTACTGGTATCTATCGTCGACTGTCTATCTGTAGTTCTCGTAAAGACCCACGACAACTGCTTGAAATCTGTGCGAAGAAAACAAACCATTGGCTTTTGGGATATTTCAACGCTAGGCACAGTCTATGGTACAATACTTCTTCAAACGGAGCTGGAAAACATCTGGTGAAAACAGCTTTCAAGGTGGTGCACCCAGCGACATACACTTATCGCCATGCTGGGAAGGGGTCTACCTCTACTATTGACCTCCTTCTCGCTAGGCAACCACATCGTATTACTGGATGCTCTGCCCTTGACTTCATCACATCAGATCACCGCCCAGTTGTCTATAATATACATGAAAGATCAGAAAAACCAATGGCGAAGAAATTTAAGTATCAGGAGGCAGACTGGAAGAGATATCGAGACGAAGTATTCAATAAACTGCAGGCAGTGCCTCCACTCCGAACAAGAGAAGACGTTGACGATTACATCAAATTCTTCACCACCATTAACCATACCTACCTTTCAGCCATAACCACCGCACCTCAGATGACCTCCACCGCATATTATGACGTTGATCGAATGTCGGCGAACCCTGAAAAATAGGTGGTATCGTACCAAGAACTCGGAAGTTAAGAAAGTTTTAAATTCAATTACATGCCAAATCAAAAACTTACTTAAAAAATGGAAGACGTCATTATGGCAAGATCGAGTCACAGCAACTCACGGCGACGTCAGAAAGTTCTGGAAGCTTACGAAAACTGCAACTATAAAGTCTTCAACGATTCGACTTCACGACGGAGACCGCCTGCTTACATCTATTGAGCAAGCAGAAGTTCTGGTTGACCACTACGGAAGGGATATTTATGTCAGAACTGGCCCAAAATCGATCATACCCAGTACGACCAGAGACATAAATTTCACGTTTATAAGTCCAAAGAAATTAAAAACCATCATTCGACGAACCAGCGGTAACCGTGCACCGGGTCAAGACGGTTTACAAACAATTTTGCTAAAGCCTTACGAATTTATACAATACCTGCCACCTTAGATTGAACAGTTCATTCTAAAACGACATGTAAAATTTATGGACTCTTTGAAAGCACTTCCAAATCCTCTATTCAATACACTAACTCCAGTTCGGTGGCAAAGTTCAGTCTTAGTTCAATCTTAGATAGTAAGTTAGTTATTAAGTTAGTTATTGAGTAGTAATAAGATCCTTATAAACACAAAAAATGGCTGAGCCCCATCGCCTTTACTGGTACACTTCACAATTATTGTTATAACAAAACATAAAGACAATTTCAATAAGGCCTTAAAATGTAACACAGTTACAGCAAAAGGCGTTCAACACAAAACTTAATTGTAAAATAAATTGTTCATTTTTGTATTATATTATTGGGTTTAAGAAAAAAAAAAAAAAAAAAAAAAAAATAGCTTTGTCACAGCCATCAAAGGCCAGATTTCAGGAAAATGTTTCTTTTAGTTCCATCCGTTGAAACCCTTTTTTTATTCGGCACTTATCTAAATTTGAATTTTAACGTTCATTACATACATTTAACATTAGTTTCATCTTTAATCAATTATAAATATATTGTTCTTATCATTTTAAATATCAGAGATATCTGATTAAGTACAAATCTTTTTTTCCATGATAATAATTATTCTTGTTTTTTTTTTTTTTTGTTATTTATATTATTATTAAATATGTAAAAGCACTTTAAGAGGCTATTTATTAACTTGAAAAATAAAAATAATACATTTAAGATTTAAAACATATTCTGTATATGTTTTAAATCTTAAATGGAGGTAAAGGAAAACACCTGGTGCTCATCACACAACACTGGTGCGCTCATCACACAACTTATCACCCTTCTTAGCAGAAATAAATATTTTCATATTTGCCGAAAAGCAAAAATTATAGACGCTATATTTATTTATATTTCATTGTAGGTATTTGTATAAGTACCCTTATATGTACAAATTTTAAAATTTATACCGCTGTATCTACGCTGTATCGCTTTATATCTATGCAATTAAATATTAAATAATATCAACAATAGCATGTATGAAAACCGCATATGTATATTTACATAATATTTTAGGAGTCCGTATTATATTAAGGTCGTGTTACGTATGGAAGCGTGTTCTAATCTTTCGGGCGAGCTAGAACGCTTAGTCTGTGGGCCCCTTACCGTGCACCACCCTCCCCCCACATCCCTATAAATTGCATATCGTTATGTTCCTAATAAATGTAATATATACCTTATCTGGTATATGTAATATATATCAGCTGGTCTGGACGAAGTAACCCGAAATGCTGTGGGTACAAAGGCTACAAATGTATTAGAAAATGATATGAAAGGACTGTAGTTTTGTCCCTTTACATGAAACGAGATACTAGGAAATGTAATACCGATCGAGATTCCTTACTGTTTATAGTACCAAAGAAAGTCTACTCAAGAATCGTATAAGCTAAAATAAGAAATATTGTCGATTGCCAGAGCGATATGGATTGAGAAACTCAAGTTGCACATTGGAACATAAGTTACAAATTGGGACTGTCTTTACTCTAAGGTAGGTTATAAAGAAGTCCACCGAGAAAGAAAAATGGTTCTATATCTGCTTAGTGCCTCACACTTTGTGTACAACTCCAATAGCAATAGAAAATAAAGTGGTTTTCACCATTATAAACCTCGTTTACTTCCTCCAGACCTGCTTGCCAATTGCTTAGAACAAATCTTTCTTGCTGATAAAATCATCACCAATCATCAAACAATCATCACCTATTCATTAAAAGTAGTTCAGATTAGGTATATATTATTTTAGTTTATAAAACAGGTATTAATATGACTCCGGTGAAGTATATACAATTTAAATTAATTTTTATTATTATAATTATATAATTTTTATAATAGAGGCCTTATTAAGCGACCTCTGTATAGAATAAAGAATGTTAAATTAAAAAAAAAATAATAAGTTTAAAAAAATAATAAATTAAAAAAAAATTTTAATTTTTTTTTTGACAATTAAATTATTGTATTAATATTTGTTCGTTAATGCAATCAATATAATATAACAAAAACGTGATTATAGCACTATAACTAAGCCATTTATGAGTACTGAGTGGTGTGGTAGAGGCCTGTAGGCACCCACGCCAGTAGCGCTTTTCTGCCGCTTAAGTACATTTTATACGGAACTACTTCAAATATTTTAAAAAGTAATCAGTGTTTTAGAAAGAGAAATGTATTTTACAGATGTTTTATTTCAGCACGTTTTGCATTATTGTTGGCCGTTTAATTACAAACGACGCTTGATTTTTAACTCAATTTTGTTAAAAAAATTGACTTTACTGATGTTTTTTATTGCCTAAGCCAATTAGTTTTTAATATTTTTTCACGTTTTATTATTCTCTGACTATACAGCTTTAATAGAAGACCTATGATGAAATTAAACCAAATGCTGATTCTCAGTAACAAAATAACTAACTAAAGTCAAAGTCGTCAATCCGCCATGTTTGGACGCCATTTTGGAGCAGTTCGTTCACTTTTTTTTGTGGGAACATTGGCTTTTTTTTAATAAATTGTCACAAGGAATGCAATTTATAGGGATGTGGGGGGGAGGGTGCACGGTTGGGGGGGGTCTTAGAGAACCTTAGAGCGTTGGTCTAGTAAGTGCTGAAGTACCCGGAAACGTAGAGCGGTTTCTTGTCGTTTCAGTCTAGTATAAGGATTCGAAATTAGACGTCCAGACAGATTCCTAGGTATCCTCGGTATTTTTTATAACAGGGATAAGTGGAGTATTGTTAAATGATATTGTAGGATAGGAAGTCATAGGATGAATGTAGAGTAAAGGCAATTTGATAGGATCTATTAGAATTTATTTTAATTCTTTAGTTGATTCTTCAAGGTTCTTGATGTGTGATTGAAGTGGGATGCAATTGATGGCTCGTTATTAACTGTTGAAACACATGTGTCATCCGCATAGATTGTGATGAGAATGTCGGGATGGGTAGGGATTTCAGCTGTAAAAA